AAAAGTAAAAATTGAGCCACTTTCTAAAAGCTTAGTGTTCATTTGTATCATACATTCAGGTATTTCTTAACATTAGAGAACTATTTTTTTTTAATCCTTTGCCACATGGTGTCCAGTGGACAGCTCATAATTATTTACTGTGGTTAGAAGAGGAATTTCAAATTGATAATACAAGTTTTAGACCATGTATTTAAAGTCCAGTGTCAGGAAAGAAACTCTCCCTGCCTCTCACTTACCCCCAGAAAGATTATTTGCTAATGTTGGAATTATTTTTTAAACCATTTACCAAAGCTCTACCAGAATTTATTTTGTTAAATCATTGGTGCTTTGTATTTTTACAGTCATTGCTGCTTCTAGCTTACCTCATAAGGAATGGATCAGAGCGTGTTGTTACAAGTGCCAGAGAACACATTTATGATTTGCGATCCCTGGAAAATTACCACTTTGTAGGTGAGCAATAGAAAAACCTTATAAGCAAATTAAAACAGTAGTTGGAGTTGTCAGTCACCTGAACCAGCTTAGAAGCTTCTCCACTCTAATTAGAATGTGACTATTGCTGGTTGTGTGACGAGTGCAGAATCCAAGACGTGGGGCCCTAGAGTATTAATTAGTGAAGACAAGAACTTGCAGAAAAGACTGGCTAATAACAACAGAACCAACACAACATGAGTGTTCGGGTTTATATTAAAATATGCACTGGAGACTGGTCCCCTGTGGTGTCCATAAAGGAATAGCTTTAATCATATGGGAAGAAAAGGTTAGAGCTCCAAAACACACACATCTGTTTGAAGCTGGGTTTTTTTTTTTTTTCCTCCCACCAAATAATATTTACTGTGCAAAGGCAGCAAGACCAGAGTGTGTTTTGAATGTGAACGAGGATACAGAATAAACCACATTTCATTTTGTAGTGTACCCCAGTTGAAAGCACTTTAAAAATTCAGTTTTTCAGCTACACTAAATTCTGGTAATTAGTATTTCCAAACTTGTATGGGGGAAACCAAAGCATTTGAGTATATTTTAGTAATTAAAATGTTAAAGTGGATCTTTTGTTGTTGTTAAAATAATGTAGGGAAAGAAAACATTTATGGATATAAGTCTTTTTCCTGTGGTCATCATTAGTAATGCTTTTTAGGAGATCCTTCATTGATCTTGCATAGCACCAATATCTGTAGTCCTTGTTAATTCATCTTACAAGCCAGAATTGCATCCCAAGACTTAGAATTTGCTTATGAGAAAATGACAAAATTCAATAGCACTATTTGCCTCTTTTTGTTAATTTTAATTATTGAAGTTGGTTTTTTAATGTTGAAATTTTCATGTCTGTTTTTTGTGTTAAAGGGTTTGATACTTATTAATTGAATATTTAAGGTTTTGTTTCTCCCTTACCATCCTCACAGATGAACATGGCAAGGATCAAGGTATAAACATTCGCCAGAAGGTGAAAGAATTGGTTGAATTTGCCCAAGATGACGACAGGCTTCGTGAGGAGCGAAAGAAAGCAAAGAAGAACAAAGACAAATATGTTGGGGTTTCCTCAGACAGTGTTGGAGGATTCAGATATAGTGAGTATCAAAGACAAACTGACACCTTAGCATTCAATTAGCTTCCGGGTGTATTTTAAGAATCACTGAAATATGAAAGACCAAAATACCTCCCCCCTCCCCGAAATATAATACTAAAGGATATGAAGTACTCATTTTGGCTCCTATTATATGGATATTAGGAGTCTTCTTCTCTATTTTTTACTTTTGTGGGTTCAAGAATATGATTTTAACCATTGGTCGTTAATTAAATGACTCTAAACTTTAAATTGACACAGAGAATAAAACAGGTATATACCCTTCCCTCTTGGAATTACCATTTTTAAAAAGAAAAAAGGATTTCTCTACCTCACCATTTAGAGCATAAAAATACAAAGTTTGAAGAGCTTCATCTTCCCCATTTGAAACAAATTAGCTCTATTTTGAGCCAAAAATAGTTAAGCTTCCTATAAGTTAGTTCTGCCTCTCTTCCCTTAATTAAGCGATACTTTAATTTGACATAGAAAAAGGTGAGAGTACCATCAGCTTTTCAGGTAGGCCTATCACTTTATTGTTCCTAACACATTTAAGAGCAGCTAGAACATTGATCGCTATGTTTATTTTTAATGTACTAATATAGTTTCCCCAAAATAGATCACTAGGTACTTGAAACAGGCACAGAAAATAAGAACTCGCTGTTAACAGCATGTCCCTTTGGACTCATTCTGTCTTCTGTAAGCTCTGACCATCCCCTGGTCATTTTGTGTATCCATAGACAGGCTAGTGCTGTGTATACTTAGCCACAGATTGGGACTTCCCAGCTCCCCACACCCATATCTGAGTTTTTTTATATTTAGATTACACTGGGATCTCAGAACTCCTGCACTGGAACCGTGTAAAAATTTTCTATTTCTTATCTTGTGATTATCTACAAAATAATATCTTTGCTCCTTTGCTTCTTTGCTCTCGAAGAAAAAATACTGTACTTAATTATTAAAAGATGTTTTTAACAGGAAAATTCCTTTCTTTTATGACTAAGCATCACGAAAAGTCAGTTCTTGAATTGGGCAAAAATATTTCTCTTAAATCATGTAAATATGTTTTGGAGTTTTTTATTTGTTTAGGGGAGTAACAAGTTTTTGGATTATTTGCCTAAGTAGTTATTTTATTCTTCAGCTTTTTCAAAGTAGAGCAATTTAATGTATTTTTGAGGAGAAATTGCTATTTGCAACTCATTTCCTCATTCTACTTGCTTGTAACCCTCTTTTTACCAGCACAATATGTAATTAGATAAATTTATAAAATGAGTAAGTTCTCAGACTCAGTCACTGTGAACTAATTACATCTGCCTTAGAGGGAGAGTTGAACATCTTATGTATTTGCATCACATGCTTTTAAATTATTTGTGATATTATATATATTGTTCAAAGGCTTAACTAATCAACTTTAGCTATTTTATGTCTTTTCATTTTGACCTTAGATGGTGTCTTGCCAGTAATCCAGTATCTTTGACACTCATTTAGTAGGATATCCATCACACTAATCAGTTTTGTTTTCATCTGCTTTCATTTTTCCTATAAATTTGTCTTTTCAAAGTCTAGTTTATCACATTTTCATTGAAATGTACATTCATATTATTGGAAAACCACTCATTTTTATAAAACCATCTGGTTAAAATTTTGTCATATTCTCTTTAAGTTGATGGTCACTTTCAGATCTAGTGGACATATTTTAAAATCCTCTTACAAAAATTTTGGCTTTGCGGTTTTAGCAGGCAGTTCTGCAAAATGGTTTTATTCGATCTCCAAAGGGCTTGTTAGCCACCAGAACTTGTTCACAAAAGTTCAACACAAAGGCTCAGCCACCTTTTGATTATTTTGTTATTTCTCATTGCACTTTCCCTTTTCTCTCCAGCCTGCCTTAGTTTTCATTGTTTTCTTCTTTTTAATCTCATCTGATTTCTCTCTGTACCTTCTACTCTTGTCTTTTTGATTGAGTTTGGATGTGGAAATGGAGAGGTTCTATTTAGTGCTTAGAATACCTCTCTCCTTTAGGCCGCCAAGGTCAAGGTGTAAAACAAATTTTGACATTTGGGGGGTTTTGTTTACTGCCATGATCTATTCTTTTCATTCTCAGATTCACACAGAGTCTCCCTAGGTTTTGCCATCCCAGCATATGTTTAGACTTGGTGTTTGAGTAGATCATCACTATTCTGAACTGCTTGAGCATATTTCATGATTCTAGTCTGTGTAGTTTGGTGTGTCGGGTGATTAGAATATTCTTCTCTTTTTATAATAATTAAAGGATGCTTTCCCATGCCGTGAAATCCATTGAGTTATTTTTCTAGTTTGACACTTAAAGAATGACAGTTATTTTCAGCATATTTACAGCATATCGGGACATGTAGCATTCAGAGTGCTGTCTCCTTTAGTAGGTGTTTTTAAAGAGACTATTGCTATCCAATACTTCTCTAATAAGTGAAGAACCATTAAGAGATAGGAATGAAATATAATACATTATGTGACTTTTGTAAAAACAAAAAGATTTCCATTTCTCTTTGGCTTATATAGCCTGTGTTGGTTTTTGTGTTTTCCTCTACTCTTTTAAGAACTTCCTTATATGCTGTACTGTGCATTAAAGTTGTGTAAGTTTTCATAAACAAAAGCTTTTGAATCTGCATTCCTGCCACTTAATGACTGGCACTACATGCTGTGCCTTGCTGTAATTGTGTTGATTCAGCACTGTGGGAGCTTTCTGTTTTCCTTTGAAAACTATTTTATTATGAGGAAAAGCTTCAGAAATAAGGACTGTAGACACCTTTTGAATTTAATGTCCTTAGAGTTGCTTTTCTTTTTAATGCTTTATATAGGTGAAAGATATGATCCTGAACCCAAATCAAAATGGGATGAAGAGTGGGATAAAAACAAGAGTGCTTTTCCATTCAGTGATAAATTAGGTGAACTGAGTGATAAAATTGGAAGCACAATTGATGACACCATCAGCAAGTTCCGGAGGAAAGATAGAGAAGACTCTCCAGAAAGATGCAGGTATTAACACTTTGTCTCCTGGGTGTCTTGGAAAGGGTGCTAAATTTATGCAGCTGGGCTTTTGTCTATCTGAAGTTCAGCTTTTCTTTTTTCTTAATAGATTTTCTTTTATAGAGCAGTTTTAGGTTCACAGAAAAATCGTACATAAAGTAACAGAGTTGCCCTGTTAACTCCCCAATTTGTGCATGGGCGTGTGCACACATACACAGACACACACACACACACACACACACACACAATTTCTCCTGTTACTAACATCTTGCATTAGTGTAGTACATTTATTAACAATTGAAAGCCAATATTGATATACTGTTCTTCGCTAAAATCTGTTGTTTGCATTAGGGTTCACTGTGTTGTGCAGTTGAGAAATGCATAATATCCGCCATTATAGAACCATACAGGATAGTTGCACTGCCCTAAAAATGCCCTGTGTAAAAATATGGAATGATTCATGAATTTGCATGTCATCCTTGCACAGGGACCATGCTGATCTTCTCTGTATTGTTCCAGCTTTAGTGCATTTGCTGCTGATGTGAGCACTCTGCAGCTGTTTTTAAGATGCTAGGTCAAACATTATTTGTAATTAGTATTGATACACTTTCCATGTTGTCTATGTCCATTTATTTCTAAAGTTGATCACATTTTCTATATGTTTTTATTCAGGCTATTTATTGAAAAAAAATTTTTTTTCCAGTAAGAACTTTCATGGCTCATTTTGCATTTGGGCATCAGATTACCCAGCCATCTGACTTATTGCTGAGGGATAATGAACTTTATTAATAATAAACTTAATTAAATAAGTTTAAACAAAAGTTAAAGGGTTTGAAATTTAACTCTTTCTGTGACATTTTATTATGATTTCATGCCAGTGTTAACAGGAAAAAATAATCCAAATGAATTTTTAAGCTAAAATGTTTTTAAGTGTAGATCTATGTTTTCATAAACTGTATTTTTTAATGTTAGGGCATTGTGTTTTGTTTTATGTAGAACAATACTTAGAACTTCTCAGCATTCACTTTTTGTTCTTACCTACCAATATAGCTATAAACTAAAAAGTTAAAAGGGTATTTATATGTATTATATATATATATATATATACACACACACACACATATATATATACGGCACTTCATTTGAAAGGCAAGTTTTACAAGTTCTTTGTCATTTGTGCCTCAGAGTATTTCTCTTAGATAGGCTAGATCAAGGATTTTACCCTTACTTTTAGAAGTAAAACCTGATGCCTAATCAGGCTATGTGGAACTTTCCTAAAGTAATAGTGATGGAGCTGTTCCTTCAAGTGAGTTCTTGTAATAAGTACCATCTCTCTCTTTTTTTTTTCCTTAAAAAATCTTAGTAGTTCAGATTTAGGGGTCACTAAAAAGAAGTAAAAATAAAAATATAATTTTGAAACAATTTTAAAATACTTGTTTAGTGTCTTCGATATGTTTCTGTATTTATTAAATTTCTCAAATGCCTGTCTTTTTCAAGACTTTCTGGAATATGATCTTTGAAGAACCAGAATTTACTTTTCATTCTTTAGTATAAAAGAGCTAAAAATGTAGTTGTAAAATAGATATTTTACTACATTTTTAGCTCTTTTATACTAAAGAGTATGTATGTTATAATAATAAACACTAAACTGGGAAACTGTGCCTACTCAAATATTCTGTGAATATTCTATTTTTTTCTCTCATTATTGTTCTCATGGCCTGTGTATTTATGTTTTTAGTTTGGTTTAGAAAACATAGTGGCCATATAATCTGTTGCTATTTCCTGAAGAGATTTGGAGATCAGGTAGGTAGGCTGGTTAGAGATCTATGTACATTCTTGTGTTGTTCCTTTGCCCTACCACCCTCAGTTTTTCTTTCTTTGCTTTGTCTTTTTTTTTTTCCCCATTTCTCCTTTGTTTTTTTGTTTTTTTGTTTTTTTTTTTAATGTTACCTCTACAACAGGTTCTGCTAGAGTTCCTAAATCTTTTATATAGAGTATTTGGGTTTAAAAGAGTAAAAATATAGTGTGTATTATTCATCATAGTAACTGAAGAACACATCAGGGAATTTACATCTTTGAGTATTTGTGAAAAAAGAGTAGACTTTTAGACAAAGTTGCATGTGACCTCTGGCATCTTACCAAACTGTCAGACTTATTATTAGTTCATTGTTAGATTCAGAATTCTTGAACACTGATCAGATATGAAGCTTCCATTTCGTTGTATGCTAGTCAGTTTTATATTCTCAACGTATAAAGAAATTACCTTGCACTGAAATCAAATTGGACATCAGAAAGGTAAGAAATTTTAGTTTTACTTATAGGGCTGATGGTGGGAATCTTTAGGTCATCTGTTGCTGAGAAATTGGTAAGAGACAAGGGCTTCTGAACACTTAATCGGAACTTGTAGATTCCCTAAAATGCTTATAGATAAAAATACATTTAACCCTTTTGCTCTATGTGAGACGCTCTTCTTGATCCTTGATTTATAGAGGTTCCAAATTGATTTATATTTAAGTAGAAATTGCTGTAGATTTGTCTGAGATAAACTAGTATAGTTTTAAGGAGAATTTTAATTGTTTTATTGCAGAATATTTATAAATTAAACCATCTACTCTAAAATTAAGTAACACAAGCAATGGAACATATTTCAGGTAATTTCTCTCTGTCCTGCTTGCACCAGAAAAAAACCTCAATGCTTTATTACTGAAGAACAAATTAGTGCTGATGTTTTAAATTCATGGCATATGAAGAATCCAGTTTTATTATTATTATATATGTTTTTCTTTTGCCCTGTTAAAAAAGGGAAAAGGGCGCCTGGGTGACTCAGTCGTTAAGCGTCTGCCTTCGGCTCAGGTCATGATCCCAGAGTCCTGGGATCAAGTCCCACATCGGGCTCCCTGCTCGGCGGGAAGCCTGCTCCTCTCTCTCCCACTACCTCTGCTTGTGTTCCCCTCTCTCGCTATGCCTCTGTCAAATAAATAAAATCTTTAAAAAAAAGAAAAAAGAAAAAATTTTGAGTATGCTGAAAAAGGAATTATTTTAAATATGCTTTTTCCTGTAAAGCAATTAGTAAGGTGTAAGTTTGATCTCCTCATACTATAGTAAAATAGAGCACTGTTGTTGTAAAGTGCAATACTTCATATTTTTTTGCATTTACAGGTGAGCATTTAGTCATTTGAATTTAGTTAGGATGGTGTTGAAATTTTAGTGTCGGGCGCCTGGGTGGCCCAGTTGGTTAAGCGACTGCCTTCGGCTCAGGTCATGATCCTGGAGTGCCTGGATCGAGTCCCGCATCGGGCTCCCTGCTTGGCGGGGAGCCTGCTTCTCCCTCTGACCCTCCCCCCTCTCATATGCTTGCTCTCTCTCATTCTCTCTCTCTCAAATAAATAAATAAAATCTTTAAAAAAAAAAAAATTTTTAGTGTCCACTGAAATTGTAATATTTTATTATGTATTTTTATGAGTATATGAGTCAGTGACAGAATTGTTATTTAAATGGGACTATAGTTTGCACATAGCCCATTTCAAGAAAATGGTCATCATATGCAGATGTTTGAGCTCACGGGATCTCATCAGTTTTTCTGATGTTTTATTTTTTAATTAAGCTTTAAATCTATAATACATAAACACTTGAATTGCTTCAGACTCTTTTTATTTGTACACATTTATGTAAATATGTTTTTGTAGCAGTGTTTTAGACTTACCTAGGGAATTGAGCAGGTTCCCATTTCCCCTCCGCAGCACCTACGTATCATTATTCAGATAGCTTAGATCACATTCTCTTGATCCCTGTCAAATAGTCGGAGTATGGAATTTTGGAGTTACTGCATTTGAAATTCTTCAGCTCAAATCACTGAGGGCTCCATTTTAGTCTTATTATTTTGCTTCATTTTTAATATCTTTTAGCGACAGTGATGAGGAGAAGAAGGCAAGAAGAGGCAGATCTCCCAAAGGTGAATTCAAAGATGAAGAGGAGACCGTGACGACAAAGCACATCCACATCACACAGGCCACAGAGACCACCACAACCAGACACAAGCGCACCGCAAACCCTTCCAAAGCCATCGATCTTGGGGCAGCAGCACATTACACAGGGGACAAAGCAAGTCCAGATCAGGGTGCTTCCACTCCTGCACCTCAGTCTGCACTTAAGGTGGGGGAGGCATGAGTCTACACACCACGCAGTTTTATTCTTACAGATCACTTCTAGAATTACTGCAGGAGGCTTGGGCTTTCCTAGGCAGTCATGTTAATTATAGATCGTCTGACCCGTATTACTCAGAGTCATTGATAATAAGGAATCTCTTTGGGGGAGGAAACCTGCAATTGCTGCATGGTTGTGTATGCGCTTTCTATGAAAGTAGAAGTGACACTTGGGGTTCGTTTAGGAACAGTGGCGGATCAGAGTGTAGTGCATTTGTTTCTTTCTGGACACCATCACTGGTTGTCAAACACAGTGAGATTCACTAAGGAAAACAAGATTATTTAGAAGTTGTAAGAATTGACAGAAGAGGACCAACTAGATACATAGGGGAAACAGTCTCATTTTTATATAGAGATGTTGCCTATGAAGGGAGGCTTATTTGCCTCACTGCTGATCAGTAGCAGCACTGCCTTCTTCATTTGTTTTTTATTCACCCACAGAAATGAAATCCACCTACTAGATACCTGGCCACAAGCTAGTGTTTTGTCAGTCTCCCCTACTAGTGTTTACCCAGCTTGTGTCTTTGCATCAGAAGTAGCAAAAAGCTAGGGAAAACATTTTTCTAATGTATCCTGCAGATTGTAGTTAACTCTAAAAATAAAGCTAGTCATACTTAGTGGCAAGAACAGGTTCTCTGTCAAGTTTTGCCAAATATCTTCTGTGTATAATTGCACCCATCTTGTTAGTTTTGATGAAAACCTCAATTAAAACTCAACTTTAATTGTAGTTAAAGAGGGGAAATGGCTTTGTTAGTTCTTTGTGGTCTTCGATTTCCCCTGCTATACATATAGTGAGCTTACTGACGGCTGTGCAGGATCTGGTAGATAGTCATCATTAAAACCTGAATACATATGGCTGTTAAAAGGAGAATTCGTGTCAGGTTGCACAAGGAAAATCATCCAAACTGTGTAACTTTTTTTAACAATAAGTTAAAATTTTTGTATGTTAAAAGATTTTAAATAGCAGTTTGAAATACAGCCTAAATACATGTCACTCTGCCATAAATATTTTACATTGATAGTGTAAGCTTTGTGATTTTTTTTTTTTTAAACTACAAAAATAATGTCTAGAAGGCCAGAGTTTTTGGAAAGTTCCTCAACTGCTTGGGATCTCTTTCAGTCGCAAAGCCTTTTTGAACCAGCATATAGTATTTTAATCTTCAAGGCTCAAATTAACATGCCTAGGAACTTACAGTGTTTCCCTGTTGCCTAGCAATTCGTTCTAATTATCATATATGTATTGAACATATAGGACATTTGCATCAAGGTACTTAGGACTATAGGGAAGAGAAAAATCATAAACTCCAGCCCACATTTTAGTTTGGGAACTAAATGTGAAGCAGTTAG